AGAATGTTTTTAAAAACCATAAGCATTGTTTTTGTGTCTACTGCCCTGGGGTGGGGCTCTCTAGAACTTGGCTATCGTCTTCCTTGTAAGTTGTGAGAGTAAATCCCGTTGGAGGAATGATGGGATACGTCATAAGCTAAAGATAGAAATGAAGTCTTTCAAAAGTAAACCTACCAAATATGATGTCATGCCTAGATAAGACCTGCCCTAGAAAGAATTAAAGTCAACAATCTGCTACTTGTATAGTAGCTATTCAAGTGAACTGCCAACACAGAAAGCGTAGATGGGTTATGATAAGTTAAAAGTAGCCAAAAAAAAAAGCTGTCAAGTAGTAAGCAGACGTTCCTACTGGGAGCCTATTTTTTACGTCGTGTAAACCACATATGACCAGCAAATATCTATACATGATGAATTTTTTGTCACATGGACATTACTCACTCACTGATTGACTGTTAAGCGGTCTTCTGAGAAAATGTCAACAGAAACATCGTTCATTATTGAACAATGTTTTTGTTTTATGTTTCCGATCCTTACACATGAGCTAAGCCAGTCGAACAATGTTAATTTGGATCTGGGTCTACATATGTAGGCCCTACCGGTAATCATTATAAACCCGCTGGGAGCATCACATCAATCTGGCCAGAGTCACAGTCTGTTTGGCATGAGGTAATGGTAGCAAATATCAAAATCACCTGAGCAATATTACAAGGAAAGACTACAGTCCTAGGTGACCAAATTACTAGGAGACCACATTTGGAAGTAAAATTAAAAAAGTATTCTTACATTTTTTAAATATAAATAATACAATAAAAGAAGCACCGATAAACTTAACATCCGTAGATGTAAATTTATCAAAACGCGTTAATATTTCACTGTTACAAGACTGTTACTGGACTTGTAACAGTCCTTGATTTCACCTAGCATATCTAATTCTACCAAATCAAATACACTAAACGGTTATTGTATTAGATATTAAAATAGAAAGATATCCCAATGTCATATTTTTACAATCAGGATATAACTGTATAATAGCTCAATATACTGTATCTGATGACATTGTGAATGGGAGTCCAAATTCACTTTGAATAGACGGTGGTTTAATAATAATTTGAATACAAGGTAGATTCTAATTCCTGTTAGGATCATTATTCTTTTATTCCTCAGATTTTTAATAACTTAATGTACAATGATTGCAGTGACTTGGGGAAGATGTTTTGCGAGGCTAGGCCTTACAATGGATCAAGTATTTAGCCTCAAGGCCGAGTTCATTTGGGGATTTGCTCTCAACATGGACAAGGGGTATTATATGATTTTTAAAAATAGTTGGGTTCATTGATGTAAGGCAATATCGTTTAATGCATACCTCGATAATGTTTGCTCACGTACACAGTACTTTTTTGTTTCCTTTTTATATATTTGTAAAAATAGATAAAAAATGTTTAATAACTATAATAATATATGATCATAATAATATATTGATAATAAGAAAGTGTTTAAAACATTACCAGCTCTAAGTCAAATTTGTCCATCTTTAAGTTTAAGGTTAGAATGTGCCTTCAATATCATAAGAAAAATACTATCTATTTGTAAAACATAACTTAATTAAAGGTAGACATTTCAATTAAATTTTCAAATCAAAAATCAGAGAAAAAAAGTGTGCGGTAGGAGCCAAAGTGAATTTGTAAAACAAACTTTAAGTCATGACCGCCAGTTAAAAAGAATAAATAAAGGAAATTCTACTAGCTAAATATTTAATATATGTATAGCAATCTCTATAATAAGAATAATCAATCTGATTATTGAACTACGGTTATTTTATCAACATTGCATTAAGACGCCCTCTATTGCTCTCTTTACCGCGCATGCATTTTTTCATCAATAGCATTTTGTTGTTATTTTCTCCTTTCTCCAAGCTTTTGGGCAGTGCCATTTTGCTCAATGAGAGAGCCTTTCTCTGACAAAAAGAAAGTTTGCTAAAACCAGTTACAACACCTTGGCAAAACCTGGTATAAAAAGTCTTGCCATAGATTACATACTGAATCTGCTACATTGTTGATGGTGGTGAATAATATTCAGCAGTAACTAAAGCAATCTACAAGACTATTAAGAAAATTTATGGCTATGACTAAGCGCACTGCTATCATTAAAACAAATTTGGTAAAACTAAGTATCTCTTTCAACCCTTAATTAAATAAAATTCAAAATGTCAATTCAATAAACCATCTAGTCCACTAGAGGGCAGTATACCAATTGAACATAAAAGTTTAAAAAAAAAAACAACTTTCAGTCTGTAGTACCTTTAAAAAGTGTCTGCATACCATATTTAAATGTACATTGTTCTTAGTTTAAAGTAACAGTTACTGTTGTGAGTGAAGTATGTTCTAATTGTTGAGGGGAGCATATAAGGGTACATATTACATCACATTGTAACTTCTTGGGGAATGAGTTTTCCCCGACCAGCTTTGCTGCCTTTGCGGCATTATAGTGTGGTGGTTTTCTTGTACTGAATGTGAATAGGTTTTGTGTTGGTTTTCACTTTCTTATCGATCATTCTTTTAGCCCTACTCTTGTTTGGCTACTATACAAACCTTTTTGGAATAAAGTTTAAAATGAAATATCCAATCATAGAATAGTAAAGCTCAGTTTATTTACATTTTCAACACATATAGAAGCATTAATATGGTCTTGCCAAAATGATGAAGGAACAACATATGGGAAATGATTATCTGTGCCATTATTCTTTTTTATTCTAAAATACACTTTCAGTACGTGTACAGAAAAAGGTTCAAAAAGAGATTCAATTGAATCTGAAGTCTAAACTATGAATGTATCTTTGATGTTCAGTTAATCATTCATGGTTACAGATGTCAAATGACAATGACATCACGTAAACATGTAATGTTATGATAAGCCCCACTCTCCACAGGGATGTCGCCATGCCGTATGTCACAATCCATGGTGCGTTTTACAGAGTCCATGTGGATCTGACATTTTATTGATTGTCATTTTTAATGAATCAATCTATGATCTATTTCTTTTTGCTAATTAGTCCTGTAGATGACAGTTTTGCTCTGTTATCAACAATCATTCGCTGAATTTAATGATGTACCATAAAAATTCAAATTCATTTTTTTTTTAAACTTCAACCTGGCTGGCAGTTGCTAAAAATATCCTCGGCATTAACAGACACATAAATAATACTGTTCATACATTTTTTGCATAGTCCCTTAAATTGACTTGTAATAAATTTAAGGATTTTTTTAGTAATAAGTCTGGAAATCGACAAAAAATATGTCTCATTGGAAGTTGATAATTTGATCCGTATCAATGAGCAATTCAAAGAACTGCACGTTTGAGGGGTTTTCTAGGGTTTTTCCAAACTGTAGGCTATTGTGAGTAAACAAGATGACATGGAAAACATTAATATTTTTACAATGTATAATCAAGTGGAATCAATTGCACAGATTTAATCAAGTATTCAAAGAATCTTCTAGCCTATTTCACTCCACTGCTGAAGGAAGGCCTTTTGCAATCTCCCACTTCCTTCTGTTTCCAACTTTTTCCTGCCAAGTGATGCCGGCAAACATTCTTATCTCATCCTGCCATCTTTTCATTGTCTACCTCTTCTCACTGATGCTCTTGGCATCCAGTCTGTCATTGTGCATGTCCACCTATTTCTTCCTCCAAGTGAGATGACCTGCACATCTCCATAGATGATATGTTGTATCCCTGTCTTTGTTCTTAAGTCTATGTTGCTTACTTTATTGCTCTTGGTTATCCGTAGAATAGTTCCTTCCATGGCTCTTTCTGTTACTTGAAATTTTTTTCTCTAACTTTTTAGTAGTTGTCAAGGTTTCTGCACCGTATGTAAGAACCGCTATGATGCATTGTTTGAGAACTCGTGCCTTCAGAGAAATAGGGAGGGTGAGGTCTTCAAAGATGAAAGCAAGATTTTCAAACTTGACCCAACCTAATATTATTCTTTTGATTCCTTCTTCTGTTGTATTTTTCAGGGTTTTTTGTTTTTTTTCCCTAGATAAATGTAATAGTTTTTTTAAATATCTTTTTTATTAGATAAGTAATAGTTTTTGGAATAAAATATATTAATTTGACATTACACTACTTAGATAGTGGTATATTGCTAATATAATGGTGTATGATGGACACTCAAAACAAAGCTTATATCTACTGTACGTAGCACTTGTGGTATAACGCCCTCTCAACATACAATATTTAGCACATTAATTAATGTTGTAAAATACCTCAACAAATATCAGTTTATGTGAAAAAACTGACAAAACTTAAGTGTTCTCCCAATTGAAACATTTTTGCAGATATATTTGTCCATAAAAAATCAGCTATGCAGGCAGTGTGAGTCATTACCTTTTTTTTGAGTAGGGTTTGATGACTTAAACAAACAAGAACACATATATTCATAGCCTATAGGCATAGACTGGAATTATGTTCATTTATGGAAAGAAGGCCAGCCTAGGCTACTTAGGCCTAAGGCCATGTAAAAAAAAAAATAGAGTTGTTGATCGTCCTTTAAAAAAAAAAAGTTGGTAGGGAGGGAAGGTTTTTTTTTTACAAAATCAGTAATGAAATCCCCACCCCCATTGATACATGCCAAGTCTTCAAATCCCTATGGGATGCAAGGCCTGATGTAAATGGTGGCTGACTTTGCCGGATCTTCCAGTGTAGTGCATGACCAGATGGAATTTATACGAACAAACAATTGAAAGACAAAATAATTAACCCCCCCCCCCCAAAAAAAAGGCCTAGGCCTAGTCGACATTGAATTATGGGCAGAAAGACAACATTTTCATAAGTTTTGGCAGAAATTTAAAAAAAACAAAAAAAATTGGCTGGGTGATTTTTTTTTTACAAAATTTTATTTTGGTTGGCCAGTAATTTTTACCAGTATAACTGATGGCATATTTTATCACTACATCACTACATTCTGGTTATTTGTACTTCATAAGATGTTTTCTTTTTCATAGGTTGGAAGAGGTAATCAGCCTGCCTACTACCGAATGAGAGTTGGCAACATTGCCACGTTTGAAGAGAAGCTGAGAAGAGCTGAAGAAGAACTAGGAATACCACCAAATGACAGAGTAATACAACATTATATTATATTTTTTTAAATTATGTATAATGAAGAAAACTGTAAAACAGATGTGGATAATTTTATAGGGGGCGCTATTCAATCATACTTCCTGAACACAAGGATAAAAAAATAATTCTTTTAAACACATGGAATATTCTTATGTTTAGAAAAGAATGAATGTAGTTAGATAAACAGCAGTAATCAAATTATTTTGGATGAGAATAGAGCTGGTAAATGTTGTAAGCTGATGGTAAAAAAAATCCATTTCATATAGAGGGCACTATTTATATATTTGCCTTCATCAAGATATAGATCAAAATAGATGTTGTAAATTGAATTTGTTTTTTCTAAACCACAATAAATTATACGTACAATATATACAATAGATATTGTTATGCTAGTACAGTAGTAGAATGAACGTATGGATACAGTTAAAGGTTGGTATTCAAATATTTATCATCATCAAAATAAAGAACATGATAAGGACACTTATATCTTTTTTGTATTATGGAAAGCTGCATTTCAATAAAAAAAAACACTCAATTTTTCTTGAAAACTTATCAAACAATTTGCTACCATTTTTTATTTATTTTTTTTTTTTCAGATTCAAATTAAGTACAGCCATTCAAGTCCAGAGGGTGTGAGCAACATATTGCTGACCCTTGTATTTCTTGGGGCTTTGTTGTATTTGTTCCGGGCAGCCATGAAGAGTAGTGGTGGAATGAATTCATTAATGCAGATAAGTACGTCCTTACTTGATGTCTCATGTTGATGGTAGAATGCAACACTTTAGCTAACAAATGGCATAGTCCTATTTGTCTTATGAGAATATGATTATATTATATTCTGCATGCCAGATGATAACAGTAAAGGTAATGGTAGGAGAAAAACCCATAACCCACAGCATCATTGTGCTGAATTGCATATGGGTGTGGTTCCGTGACTACCCAGTCACCGTAAAAAGGCGCTTAAAGTAGCATTTCATTCCACAACAACAGGGACTAAAATGAACCATAGCATCAGTGCTAACTTTTACTCTTCCAAAAGATGCAATGGGATCTTTAAACTCCACTGGAGCTTTATCTATATTATAAGTTATCTAAGAAGACTTGGTTCTACCTACCCAACCTTGGGTGAGGAGTGGCTGGAACCAACGCCGATGTGTAGGCTGTAGATAGCAGCGCCCCGCCTTAACACTCGGCCACTTGACTTGCCACTAACATTTATATAATAATATTATTATTCATTTTATACATAAACATTCAGTACTAATAATAGATCTAACTTTGATTGCATTTCGTATGTAATTTCAATCCTGTTGTGATAAGTAGATGGCGCTATTAAAATATTTGTCATCCTCAAGAAATAGATGTTATGCTAGCACAGTAATGAACTATAGTATGACTGTAGTTTTATAGAGGGCGCTATTAATATATTTGTTATCATCATGTTATGCTAGAACAGACTAGTACAGTAAAACTAAAGTACAGTATATTTGTAGTTATATAGAGGGCGCTAATCAAATATTTGTCCATATCAAAAGATATTGTTAGTAGTAAGACTTTATTTTTTGATTAACAGCTGTACAAACATGCTAAACGACCACAACATCGCACAAAAATCAATTTTCTTTTCTTCAATTTTCTAACTTCCTGTTTGTTAAAGACAATCCTACCTTATCTAAAATAAATATAAAATGTGTTATTTTTAACATTTTTCAGCAAAACCAAAATTCACTATAATTGATTCAAAGGGCAAGGGTGTCACATTCAGTGATGTTGCTGGGCTGAAAGAAGCTAAGCAGGAAGTCATGGAGTTTGTAGACTACCTCAAAACACCACAGAAATTCCAAGAACTAGGTGCTAAGGTGAAGTGAATGGTCGATGATAATATCCCAGTTTTTTTAATTTGAAATCATCCACCTACCTACAGTACAAATTATGTTTTCTGTTAAGAATCATTGACCCATTAATTATTAAACTATTATGTAACTTAACCATTAAGTCATTGATCTTTTAAATGATTTAAACTGTTATAAAATTGAACTGTCACATAATTTAATGATGAACCATCAACATTAAACCGTGTACCATTGAACCATCAAAATTAAACTGTGTACCATTGAACCATGAATCATTGAGCCATAAACAAAAAAGGCTCCATGGGAAAAAAAAAATGTTGTACAACAAATTTTTCTAAGACACAAAAACGGTGTTTGACAAATGTAATGATAACCGTCGAATCATTGAACAATCAACATTAAACCGTGTACCATTGAACCATGTACCATTAAACCATGTACCATTTGACCATGACTCATAGAGCCATAAACATTGAACCATGGATCATTAAAGCCAGGCTCTAGAGGAAAAAAAAAATATGTGTACAACTAATTTTTCTCAGACACAAAAACGGTAGCAAAATGGTGGAAAAAAGAGTGGTTAGGCCTCTTTTTTTAAAATATTACAAAATCTGTAACATTGAACCATGAACATTTAACCATCAAATGATTTTCGGTGAAAATGTTCTCATTTGAAATTCAAACCCAAGATACCCCAATCACTGTTTAATTAATTTAGCGACTAAGTTGATGTATATACACCCTTAGGTTCTCATATGGTTACAGTTACTAGAAAAAGCTAATCACTATGGATGATTTGCAAATTTCAGTGGAAGGCAAAAACAATTGTGAGCAATGAAGACAAAAACAAAACGATCTCTTACTGATGCCACTTTTTTTACCCTCGTCCATTAAATTAGGTTCCAAAGGGAGCACTCTTGCTAGGTCCCCCAGGATGTGGTAAGACTCTGCTGGCCAAAGCGGTTGCTACTGAAGCTGATGTGCCATTCTTGGCCATGGCTGGCTCAGAGTTTGTAGAGATGATTGGTGGACTTGGAGCAGCAAGGGTCCGCAATCTGTTCAAAGAAGCAAGAAAGAGGGCTCCTTGTATTGTTTATATTGATGAAGTAGATGCGATAGGAAGGAAAAGAACAGATAAGTAAGCAAGTCATATTATACCACATATCTTTTTTTCAGAATCAAAAATCTATTTTATTTGTCAATAATCCAATTAAATCATTGACATATTCATTGAAAAGGCTCAAAGTTTTAACTTCTATCTGGTAGGAATCTTCTACAGGGACATGTTCCCTTTTAGCCTACCAGACTCTTTACTTTCGAGTTTCAAAATTATGAAACCACTAGACCACAGAGTTTGCACTTAGTGGCTAGTATTGAATCCAATCCCCAAGTTGCAGAAGGTACTGCATGCTCTTCAATTTTTCTGATGCAAACTATTTATATGATTATGTATCCAATGACTATAAATTACTGGGGTTTTTTTTTTCCAATCTGAAAGTGCTTCAGCAGGAGGGTCTGGGGAAGAGGAGCAGACATTGAACCAACTTCTTGTGGAGATGGATGGCATGGGAACCCAGAAAGGAGTCATCATGCTGGCCTCCACTAACAGAGCTGATGTACTAGATAAAGTAGGTGGTCTACATATCAAACTTGCCATATAATTTTTTAATTTTCAATGCGAAGTAATTCCTGAAGCACTTACATATTCCACCAATCACAAGTTTATTCACTAACAAACTTGAAATAAATTCATCTCAATCGCAAATAAATAAGGTTTAGTTTCTTTTAGATGATCCAATTAAAAAATAAATAATTGGATCATCCAAGAGAAACTAAACCTTATAAAAAAACTTATTTGGTCCTTGTTGGATTAATAGGAAATATCATGTATATCAAATGCATCATATATTATAATTATATGTGATTGCTTTTTAACAACGTGAACTGAATTATTATTTTTAGTATTATTACTATTAGTATTATTATTAGTGGTGGTAGTGGTTATGTGAGTATTTGTATTCTACATTTTTACAATATTTGTGGCAAAGACAAGCCAAACCAGTCACTCGTCGCAAATCGTGTTACAGAGAAATGGCCAAAACATGCTGGAATGTAAAATTTTTTTAAATCTATTTTATTACACTAAACTAAACTTTATATATCTATACATCATTCTATGCTGTTATTTTCCCCATTTTCAATGTTAAAACAACACTTTTTAAGGATTTAAAGATAGTTTCTGCATGATAAATGCCTGAAATCATAAACTTTGAAGGCTGATTTCTCATATATTGTTCTTTAAACAACTCCATAAGGAAATGTCCGATTTGAATGATATTTTTACCATTTTATAGCTAATATTTTACTCTCTAACACTGTATTAATAACTCAAAATTGATTTTTGCGACGAGTATCTGGTTTGGCTTGTCTTTGCCACATTTATGTATCTGTTTGTCGTTTGTGTTCCCATCAATGGCTGACAAATTTTGTATTTGCTGTTGGACGGGATAATAAATAAAATAATAATTAAAATGATTGTCCTATGATTTGTCGTTATAGGCCCTGCTTCGTCCAGGTCGATTTGACAGACACATTCTCATTGATACTCCAACACTAGCTGAGCGAAAGGAGATCTTTGAGCAACATCTGAAGGCCCTCACACTTGAGAAACCGCTAGAGGCTTACTCTAAGCGGCTAGCCCAACTTTCCCCAGGGATGAGTGGTAGGTTATTCAGGGCAACCAGTCGTTTCCCTTGAATGATTTTATATTAGATTCTCTCTTATTTGATTCATATATAAATTAATGAATGAATATATACACATTATATAGCACTCTTAGCAAACACGAAATCTCCAAGCTCAGGGAAAAACTCATGGTAGAATGTAATACAGGTCCATTAAACACGAAATTCATTATATATGACTATTTTATATTAAGTAAGTGGATGTTAATCTAAATCTTTATCTTTTTATTTTGCCTTACAACTCCGGAAAACAAACATATGTACAGTACCATCTATGATGAAAGAATAATCATATATTTATTATTGGTTATACAGGAGCAGACATTGCAAATATTTGCAATGAAGCTGCCTTGCACGCAGCACGGGAGAACAACAAGGTCATAACGGGAGAAGACTTTGAATTTGCAGTTGAACGCATAGTTGCTGGAGCAGCCAAAAAAAGCACCTCCCTGTCGAAGGAGGAGAGACTCGTCGTAGCATATCATGAATCAGGGCATGCATTGACCGGTTGGCTACTAGAACACACGGATGCATTGATGAAGGTTTCCATTGTACCTCGTGCAAATGCAGCACTAGGATTCGCACAGTACCTTCCATCTGATCAGAAATTATACACCAAAGAGCAACTGTTTGATAGAATGTGTATGGCCCTTGGTGGAAGAGTGGCTGAGTCTATTATCTTCAATAGAGTAACAACAGGTAAGTGAAAAATATGAGTTCTGCATCTGCTGAACACATAAATTAATCTAATGTACTGTATAATTTTATGAAATTATTCATCATCATTGCGTTATTTCCAACTGTAATATAAACACGAAATCATACATTAAAAGTCAAACTCAGCCATAAGTTATGTGATAAAAATAAATTCTTTCTATAAAATAGTTCTTTATGTTTTTTTTTTTTTTTTTTTACAATTGTCCTCAACCGATACATGTCATAAATATTTCGAATCAGTGGCGGTTTCAAGGGTGGCCCGGGCACCCCCTAAATATTTCAAAATGACTGAGAGTGCCATTTCTGGCCATCTAGAAGTGCCATAATCGAAAATTTACTTTCCATGGTGGGACAGGTTGTATGGACGTCCATCTGTCAAATTTCCTCCCTGGGCCCCCGTTATTTTAAATTCCTGGATCCACTACCCCTAATTATTCTTCATACTTGCAATAAATTTTCCATACTAGGTGCTCAAGATGACCTGAAGAGAGTAACCAAGATGGCATATGCTCAAGTGCGTACATATGGGCTGAGTGATGTCGTAGGCAATGTGTCATTCCCTGAGGTGGAATCGAATGAAGTTGGTAAGAAGCCATACAGTCAACATCTACAGCAACTCATTGATATGGTAAGCAGCTTATAACTACTGGCCAGCATCATACCAACCAAGTTGTACCTTGATATTTAAGATGTTGGTCAGAGTCCTAGGTTCAATATCACTATTACACATGTGCCTAATTTTGTAAAATAAAAAAATAAATAAATAAATAAAAAACTCTATACTCATATAGATAAATCATTTGTTGATTCCTAATGTTAATTGGCAATTGCTGTGGGGCATAATATCTATCCATAAGCCCAAATGGTGTTGATTTGATGTGTGAACTTTTTTTAATGACACTTTTAAGCAGCAGGAAATAGAACTCTCATATCAAGCTTTCAAAGTTAAAAATTTCTTTGTTGATTACTTATGTTTTTAGTCGTCCTCATAATTAGAATGAAGATGCTTTGCCATCATCAACATCAGAAAAAGACCCATCTATTTATGTTATACTTAAGGACCATGATAATATATTACAGAACAAAAACAAAAAAGACTAGAACTTATAACCCCAGGTTGGGACCCTGATAGGTAAACTCCCATTCCTACTGTGCCTTTGCATTGTATTAAATCCCCATCCCTACTTTAAGATGGCTGTACGCTAAACCCCCACCACCTGATGGTTATAAACTTGTGATTTGATGATATAAATAAACTTTAGTTGTTACTTTTTAAATTTCATAGGAGGTGAACAAATTAGTTGCTCTAGCATATAAACAGACAGAGAAAATTTTGCTTGAAAACACAGATACACTGAAAAAGGTAAGAAATTTGTCTCTCAAATATTCAGTATTATATTGCCATTTACCATTATAACATTTTTCTGGGCTGATATATGCTCATTTCAATTTCTTTTTTTTTTCATGTACTGACCTTTCTTCAATACATTTCCTTCATATAATAATTTATTGGCCAGAGCACATATTCTTATAACCCCAATCATTTGAACAATGCCTTTGGTTCACATACTGAGCTCCCTGTAGAGTGTCCCATAATGTTGTAAATCATTTTGTTTGCATTTTAACCTACTTACAACATGAGTAAAATGCCTTGGCCAAAGACACAAGCAAGTGGCCTTGCATTATAAGATGTGTCAAGATTGTAATTTCCATGATAGCTTTACTAAAAAATGGCATTCATTATTAGAAAAAACACCATAATTCATCTGACCCTACACCTTTAAAAACAATACTGGGTCAGGTTTTGGAGATGAACTTATAAACATGGGAACCAAAAAATGCAAATGACTTTGGGCCTGCTGTCAAAATGCTAGACAGGTCTGTCAGTCGTTTGGCCTTTATTAAGAAGTCTAGGTATCCCATGGCTAGGCCTAGATAGCATTTTGATGCTGAATTTAAATAGTTTATTTCATAATCAGAATCAACATTATCTGAGGCATATCATAGTGTGGAATTTGTATTCCAGAATTCTGAAATTAGCGGGGCATTTTGCATTAAAATTACCTAAAAGATATAGGGTGGGCATACACCCAGAAAATACATAAATAAAAGGATACAATAATAAAATCATAAATGGTAGATATCAATTTAATATTGTTGAATTAGACCAAATGCTTTATTATCAACATTGACAAGAATTCTATAAGATTACTTTTAATAATTGTTGGCATTTCTAACACTTTCCATATCTCTTTGTCTCAAAGCACTTCACATTATTGCCCTGCGTAATTGGAAACAGCAACAATATCCGAAATGTTTTCTTTTTAGCTTGCAGCAACACTGTTTGAGAAAGAGGTTTTGAATTACGACGACGTTGTGGCATTGATTGGCCAACCAGCTTATGGAGAAAAAAAGAGAGTTGAATTCGATGAATTTGATCTTGTCGATACGGCCGAGGAAAATTCCAAATCAGAAGACTAATGAATATAACATGTGTAAAAGTGTAGCTATAACAGATCATCGAAATAGAGCAAGTAGAAAAAAAAGCTATAAATGTTACAGCAAGTGTACATCCCTTGCGGATGTACGGTTGTTGTGGATGGCTCCTCGCAGGAGCTAGATGTGACTCCATATCTAGGTCAGTTGAAATTAAGGGGGTTTTGGAAGGTAAACTCGATCTAGGAGATTAGCAGCTGGAGGGATTAGTAGGTGAACTTCATGATCTCTTCCCATTCAATCAATGTGTAATCATAACTTTCATGATTTATACTTTGTTTGATATCGTGTTGACCTGAATGTTGTATGTCTACATGTCAACAAGAGGTTTATACTATTGCTATTTCCACCCTGTTTATAATGATATTTAATACCTTGTTCACTAAGTTGAATTCAATTGCTTATGATAGTATTGAGTGATTCTATTCCTATTATAGCCACAAACTACATTGGAAACAGATGCGTTGTAATGAACAACAGGAGGAATATATTCCTATTTTCCCTAATGATTCAATTCATTATATACAATATCTTGTTTGAATAAATTGTTTATGATAGCATAATTGGTACTTATTCCTATTTCTATACAAAAAATGCATTGGAAACAGATGTGAAACACCCACCTCTATTAGCCTTACTAGCCCATTTATTGGTTTACATGTGAAACCTTAAACCAAAACCTTAGAAACCCTTTTGGCTGCACTAAGTATATCAAGCCCGTAGCCAGCCCGTAGCCAGTTTAAAAGAACCCCTCTTTTCCTGAAATGCCCTTTTAAATCATAACTAAAAAGTACCATTTGCATGAAAGTTTTTGAAATTAACTCCAAATATTTGAAACTTGGCATTTTTATTGCTATTTCTGGACGTCTGACATGTTATATTTCTTTGTGAAAAATTAGAACCCCCTTTTGAAAATCCTGCCTATGGGCTTGAGTATATTATGGCCTTTTATGTGTGTGATTAAAATTTTTAACAAAATGAATTTTGCATTGATTCTCAAAATTTGGAAGCAACATAGTGGTGGCTTCGGGCTATATGCTCAGGGGCCAAGTTTTCCCACAGACAGGGTTTGACAATTTTCTTGCAACCAAAAACAAATGCACTACCATAGCCTGAGAAAAATAGGTATAGTTATATGCATTTAGCAATCTAAATCATGAGCTTTCCTGAATGTATCATCTTCAATTAATGCAAACAGATATGCAAAATATGAAATAATAATAATTATGATAAATTATAATAATACACACACACACTGACTGGCACTGACCCCAATCACAAGCTCAAAGTGAGAGCCAGAATCACAACCACTGGAGCAACCATTTGTCAATAATTTTTTACAAATCAAAAATAAATCACTTTGTTAAGCTTAAGATAACAGGAAATAACAGCAGGAAAAAGAACATCATGTTGGCTACAACAAGGTTTAATTTATAAAAGTTGTTTTTTATTTTATAGACATGCATGCAATAATCATCTTTTTTGCAAGGACATTTTTAAATAAAACAGGATAAAAAATAAAACTACACTGTCATTTATAACAGAAAATGACAAATGTTCTTTTAATAATGACATTGGGTTGTCATATTTGGAGAATGTTTTAAGAAGATCTTTACCATGGTGTTTTACATGTATATTCTATGTATTAATACCCTCAGTTGTGTAAGTGGTCCCTTAAGGACCACAGTGAAAATTAAGGACCCTAAACTTTCAACAATTACGGAAGTAAGCATTACATTTATAGTACACTTACCATGTTTTAAAGATATATGGCCACAAAATTGAATAAGCATAACGATTTTTAAAATATAACTTAATTTGTTTATTTTGTATACAGTATTTAAATTAGTTATCAGTTTTCAACTGATAATAAGAATGAGAAAATATTTTTATCGCCAATTTACAGAAATGAAATAATTCTTAGTACTTTTTGCTTATATTCTTCGAATACTCGCCAGCAACTTTCTGTAAAAAATTAAGAACTGAAATTTTTTAAGATCAGTGACTAATATTGAATGTTGTTAACTTAAACAATTTTTAAAAAATTGGATGTCAGTCAGTATATCTATAAAACTTAGTCATTTATTCAACCTTTATTTAAAGTTATACTATCATCAACATTTTCATCGTTGCCGCCAGCCCTGACATTGTTGTTAACATTATCACTATTGTCATCAGAATCTGTAACATCATCGTCATCATCATCCTAGTACGAACCATTATCATTTGCATTATCGTGTCGTACACATTAACATGTTCTTCATTCTTAAGTTAAAACTAAAAAGATACAACACACTGTTTACGCTAACAAAAAAAATCTGTTCCAACCATCTGATAGATAACTATTCCGAGTTGACATTTCAAAAACTCAATCTTTCATTACTTCACGTTCTCCTGTCGATGAAAGATACAAAGAAATTCTTAAAAGTGAGGTAGTACAGAACACCTGGTTACTACCGGTTTACTTCGCGACTTTGTCTTTCTCAATCTCAACAGCTTGTGAGTCACAATAACCAGATCTCAGGTAGTTGTCAAATGAATTGGCTACGATCTGGACCAAGTGAAGCAGCGCCAATTGAAAACCTTACTACAGGGTGAGTACCAGATGCCTACGGCCTCATTCACTGCCAACAGCAATTTCCTGATAGACTTCCACGTCGATGAGTAATATCAATAAATCAGAGCAAAAAATCCGGTACACTTTTATATAAGAGTGTAAATGTAGATAAACAAATTCTCTTTTATGTGGTTCTTTTATAATCTATCACAATATTTTTTTTTTTGGGTGGCTGAAGTTTTCATAATTCATGCTAAATGTGAGCTCCTCATCCTGCCATTGCAGTCATTAATACTAGTGCATGTCCTTGTGTAGAACTGTACACACTTGCTGACTATGTTGAACGTGATAATGGTTTGATATGATAGAGTCAAAATGAGAGATTCTAGATTAATCATTTCCATTGCCATATAATCAAGTTATCATTTCAGTTTTAACAAGGTCTTGAGGCAAGATGAACGATTTCTGATTGAGGAACATATTGTTTATTTGTTTGCTTATATTTTTTACTAGATCCGCATTTCTCTACCACTCCGATACTGATCCAGTTTTCCTAACATTATATATACAAACTTAATGACAACATTACCCAACATTATTAATGCATAATTTTTGGATCATAATAATAATAATACAAGATTTATAAAGCGCACATCTCCACCAATGGTGCTCAAGGTGGGATAACCTATAAGAAAAATATAGTGAAAAATAAATGACAGCAGTGCTTTATATACTAAGTAGAAAATATTTTTAAAAATATAATAATAAAAACAATAGTCATATACGAGATTAAAATGATAGGGTAATTGTAATAAATGAGATAAGGTAAATAATTACCAAATATCAATTAAAAGAATTAAGGTTCAGATGACATAGTGTAGGGTATACTGTAGATAAGAGAGCCAAACAACAATCAAAACAGATTTCTCAGCAACCAATAATCATATCTCTAATTCGTTTGTCTGCAGACCAGTATTTCTTGTTTAGTTTGCATTAGTCTTAAATTCTCAATTTAGATGTTACTGTACTAATCCAATCCATACATACAATTTGTTTAAGATTATTGTAACAATAGCCACTGTCTTTTTAAATACTTCTGGATCAGGATTTGTAATACTCCAAAAAAAAAAAAAAATGGCCACCATCATCCTTTTTTTTTAGGATAATATTTTTTCAACATTTAACTGTAAAATTCATTATGTACAATAGGCTTTTTTATCCAAGATTTTTATTATTATTATAATAATTATTATTACTACATTCAATAATTATATTCAGACATTAAAAAGAATGTATTGATCACTTTAATAGGTTATCACTTAGAATGACATGGCTTACCATAAGGGGTTAGGAATGTTTGGTGAGCATTGATTATGTGTTCCCAGATGTACCAGAGTGACCATCGATTGAACTCAGTCTATAATTTTATTAATATTTGACTTGAAATAATGACATAAGAACCAAGTGGTTATGCTTTCGCAGCTGGGAGGCCTCATTCATAGTAAGTTCAACACTATAGGGAGGTTATCATATAATATCATCAAATTGCTCAGAGATCACACAAATTTTCAATCTGTTTAGGGACATGGACCAAGGATTGTCATTAGCAAACATATGACAGTCCTGCATAAGTATAAACGTACAGACTTTCACTAAACATAACACAGATATAATAGGCCTACATATATATGCGTTAGAAGTGAAAGTTATTTTTTTCGAGCAAAGAAACATTATGTACACAGGACCAACTGCTTGACATTTAATCTGAAAGATGAGTTATTTAAACTAAAGTTCCTAACCTAACCACTCGAGCAACTATAAGCATTGACAGGTTTGAAACCAGAAGGCCTACTATGTACCAGGAATTGCCAAAACTAGTAGGGGAGGCAAAAAATTGAAAAAAAAAAAAAACAGAAATATCCTTTAAAAGACCAAAAGCCTGTAATATCTTGTATCTTTGCTTTAGAAATTTCTATTTGTGTTCTTTAAAGCCGAGCACACAGTACTGGATCATACAACGGTCATATGACTGTCAGCCAATGAATTCGTCTCCGAGTGCTTTACAGCATTGCATCGTCTGCTTCTTGTTGGTACAACACTAAATGAATTGTCATTCTAAATAATTTTTTTTGCCAGTCTTGCGCCTTGTTGTGGGGTGTTCTCTGAGAAATCGCGTCAGGTGGGTGTGTGCATGACCTGAAGTAACAATGGTACATGCACATGATACTTAAGTATTCATTTGATGGTAGACAAAGCTGGATAGATTTATATTAGGTTCCTATGTTCTCCACTACCTCACTTTCTCCCGTTTTCACATCATTCAGATTGTAAGTAAGAAATACAATTTGTATGTTTAGTTGGTTTATCTGTTGGTCATTGTTGATGATAAGTGTTATGCAAGACCAAAATATAAACATTACTGCCAGGTCTTGCAAATCTGGATAGGCCTTTGAAAGCTTGCCAACTTTTCCAATACACATTTAAATTAGTCAGCCCAGGTCAAAGAACACAGTGCTGACGTTTCAAATTTAAATCACTGTATTAATTTAGATAAGTTGCTATGACAACACTGGAAAGTATGGTCCCACAAGAACATTCCTGGCAGAAGACATCCCAGTTAGAATCAAGTGTAACTTTAACAAAAATTGAAATGCCGGAAATGTTGCTCCCCAATGGAAATTTTATCAGGAAGATGGAAGATTAGGACACAATTAGAGAAGCAGACATCCAAGTTTCATATTGCTATCTGGATAGAAGTTACAAAGCCTTAAAAAAGTTTGAACACTGTTGTAGTTAGGTTGGGACTGTATGCCACCTTATTATCTGTTATCAGAACCAAAAAAGTTACAAATTAGACCTCTCTCACCAACCTGAACACAAAACTCATATCTGAATATTTAGAGGAATCCATCCATTATCTAAGTAGACCTTTCTGCACTTGATGATGTCATCCATCACCACTTTGCCATCATCATTCTGTCATGAAGTCTCTTTCTTTATGCTGCC